AATTACATGACTGAATACGCTCGCATAAAACAAATGGCGAAAATAAATGGCTTCAAAGGAGATTTGGTCGACGTGTTGATAAAAAAACATTTAGACAAAATAAACAAATTTAATTTATCGACATTGTTTTCGCAAAACACGCCAGAAGTGGAAAAAGTTAGAGTTGCTTTGCCATATATCCCACAAATTATGAACAAGATAAAAAATAAGTTTCGTGAATATAATTTAACCATTGTGTATACGAATCAAACCAAAATAATGAATTTGTTGGGTTCAACCAAAGACACAATTGATTCTTTACACAAATCTGGCATTTATGCTATTCAGTGCCCCGTTTGTATGTGTGAATACATTGGTCAAACGAAACGTAACATTTCAGTTCGTTTCCGTGAACATTGTTTGTGCATAAAAAACAAACAGGGCTACCGCTCTGTTTTAGCATTACATGCATTGAACAGCGGTCATTTGAACATCGACATAAGCAACTTACGGCTGGTGAAAGAGATAGGCGACGCGCGCAAATTAAACGCATACGAAAGTTACTTTATTCAGAGGAGCAACAACGCATTGAATCTGGATAACGGGAACATCGAGTCAAATTTGCTGTCTCGGTTGCTATGATGCTACACCGACCGATGTTTTTACGTGACAACCGACGACTTTTCTGTTTAGTCGTGATGCTGATGATGGTATGATAATACCGAAATGCATTCAAGGTACTCTTTTCAAATTCTTTTGTTTTAAATGAATTGAAAATATTGAATTAGTGAAAACAATAAGGTGTGATTCAATTGTTTGTTGAATATCACAAGTCACTGTTTGCTCTATTCAGAACAACAAAATCGAATAATTTCACGCTTCTGCGCAGATGCTAAGCTTTATTTTTCAAAATAACATATCGTGTGTTCAGGCATAGTACATGACCTTGTCAAATAATGATGATTCTCTCCTAAATTTGCAATTTTCATCACCAAAAATTACTCAGAACAATCGCAAATCATTTCAAAGTATAACAATGGTTGAAAAATGTCGCGAAAAATGATCGGATTTATTCGAAATTACACTTAATTTTGGGTACACGCACACGATTTTGAAAAAAAAAATCCGATTCGTTTTGTGGCTTCCAACAGTATTTCGAAACAATTTAACGAATTACAAGCAAAATTTATATGTCTGATTCATTGAATAGAGATAATGACATAGCTAACTTTTGATGTATATGATAACCAGGGCAACCAAAAATATTTATGAAAAAGTCCAAAATATTTATGTAAATATTTACGAAAAATCGTCGAAATATTTATGGAAAAGTCTAAAATATTTACGAAAATATTTAAAATATTTTTATTAAAAACCGTTAAATTTCCTTATAAATAGCAACTTTTAGGCGTTTTTTAAAGAAAGTACGTTAGCCAAAGACTAATCAAAGCTATTGCAATAAATAACGACATGCATTTTTAAATTTTCGAATGAAAACGAACGACGTTGATCTCCCAGAACTTGTTTGTATTTTGAAAATGTTCTCTCTACATCACATGAGGTAATTGGTGCATACAAAAAACAACTAAGCTCTTCCGGTGACAGCATATCAATGAAGTTATCTTGACGTGTTGATTTTCCCTTGCTCAAAATTGTAGAGATTTCTTTCATTTGTAGAAATCCGTTGTTGCGTGCAATAACTCTATCAAACTTGTTCAAAAATTCAGTCCTACCACGCATTGACTGAAGGCTAGTGCGAATTGATTCAACAATTTCGAGTGAAGTTGCAAGTGGCATTCCTTTTCCTTGTAGTTTCGTCACACCAGTAACAAGACATTCGAAATTCGCTTTTATAAAAGCCAGGTCTTTCTTCAACGTTGACACGCGAATTACTAACTTGGCTTTTTTGATAGATTTTGCATCTTCTGAATCAAGATCATTTAAGAAGGTTTTGATTTTCTCAAAATGATCGGCAAAGTACACTGCTGCTTCAGTCCACGTGCCCCATCTCGTTACGATCGGCTGTGGCGGAATTGCGGTTCCAGGGAACATCGCTTGAAATTTGTGCTTGCGTGCTGGAGCCTACATGACAGAGAGAATGAGAGAGAAATGAATGTGCTGAATAAAGCCTCTCTCATTGATATTTCGAGCTCACCTTCGTGAATATTTTTTTCATATTTGAAATTAATTTATTCACATCGCTGAAACTATCGCGATTTCAAAACAAATTTTCTTTCGGCATTTTTAAACTGTTTCAAATGCAGCGTGTGAACATTTCAGATTCGATGTCCAAACTGAAGTGTCACGTTACATTCCCAAGAAACCGTTTGCACTAAAACAATAGACCGTGCTGTTTGTTTACATTAGGATTATTTCTTTTCTCACTTTCTTTCGTGCTCTATATAAGCATTGTGCGAACTGGCACGAGCGCTGTTGTCGCACCATACAACTCGTACACATAGTGAATCTGTGTGTTGTAGTGGACAGCAAAGGATACTAGATTTAAAAATCGATTGCTAAACCGAAATATTATACACAAAAAGCATTGATGAACGACGCAAGTGTGCAATACATTGATTTCAAAGGCAGAAATAGTGAAATTATTGACACGAAAAGTCTGAAATATGGTGAAATATTTATGAAACCTCTCAAAAGTCGCCAAATATTTATAAATATTTTTTTTCGGTAAATTGGCCGAAATATGTAAAAAAATATTTTATATTTTCGTAAATATTTTTGGTTGCCCTGATGATAACAATGATTCTTTCACTTACGGTTTTAGAACATTCAGTGATATCAGCTCGACGACTGGGAGTAAACTGAAGCTACACTCATCAAATGTTAACGCGGCTATGAAATCCATACTGACGATATTTTTCGACCTGCCTCTAGTGGTCATGCACACAACACACGTTGAGCGGTCAATATATACACACACCACAGACACGCTAGCATTGGATTTATACGGTTTGCGCGAAAGGCTACTTGATTTTCGGCCATGCATACGCTTATGTGATTGAAATCTTCAACTATCACCACAAGCGTCGTGTCAGTAGAGATCGTCTTATGTTTACATTGGAAATACGTATTGTAGTTTCATCGCCGTGAATGTTAACCGTTTTGAAGCCATTCCGACTATTTATGTATTTTAAATCTCAACGGCGTCATCATGATGTCTAGGCTGAACAGTTTTGATAATGGTAAACACTTGGGTACGGACACTTGATTAATGAGAAATACACACATAAGTGTCTCGAAACCTTTGTTATCATCATCATTGAAAAAATGCTGTGTAACGAACGTAAAATAAATAACAATTAATCGATTTATGACGCATTATATCATGGCGTATTTTAGTGATTTTTCAGAACTGCCCGAAATCTAAAATGCTAAAAAATCGCTGAAAAAACTAGGCTGAAAATAATGTTTATTTAATTGATAGAAAATGAAACACATCGGTTATTTGATGAGTGCAAAATGTTGTGAATATTTATTGAATGTATTTTGCTGATTCAACAATTCATCTTTTTGATCCAAATGTAAATGAAATTTGTAGCAATTTAGAAATTGATATTATTACGCTTCGATTCCAATAAATAATCTTCGTCGCAATCGTCTTCTTGTTCTTCGGCAGCGGCAAAAATTCCTTTATACCATCGCTGTTTGGTGACCGTATCTTTTCACTAATGTGCATTTCAATCAACGATTGGAGCACAATTGGCAATTTGTGGCACTTCAAGTGGTACAATTGCCACATCATCAAACGTTTTGGCCTCAACAATTCTGCCCTATCATTTTCATCTATCGAACCTGGCAACAAATATCACATCGCATGATTTACTTCAGTATATATTAGACAAAACTGGACTGAACACTGATAAAATCAGAGTGATACGTCTCACAAAGAAAAATCAAGACTTGTCACTATTGAATTTCATCAATTTCAAGATTGAAACTACGAGTGAAATGGGAGATTTGATTTGTACACCTGAATTTTTCCCCAAACATTCAAAAATCGTACCATTCGCTCGTAAGACCGGTCGATTTTCACAAGGATCACAATCACATGGATCATCGCCTGTTTCTTTGGCTTCGTTATCATCTTTGTCCTCGACTAATTCAGAGCAAAATTTTCAGTTCAACAGGACAATATCGCAATCAACGTAAATAAAAATACGTGTACCGAAAAAAGAATCAAAATTTGCTCAAATATACATCAATCGCTTCTGTACAACAACATGCAAAGTATTAATAACAAAACTGATCAAATTCTGCAATCGACAAGCACTGCCTTTTATAATTATTTGGCTTTTACGGAAACGTGGCTCAATCCAGAGCAAAGCTCTACCGAGTTTATGAGCTCTGAATACAAATGTTTTCGTAAAGACAGGCGACAATCAAATATCAACTGTGTTATGGGCGGTGGTGTACTGATCGCGATAAAGAAAGACATCGATGGAGAGGAATTCGTCATAGATGAAACGAAAAATCTTGAAGCCATTTGTGTGCGAGTATCATTGTCGAGCAATAACCTGTATTTACATTGTCTTTATATCCAACCCACGGCTCCGATTGAAATATATATTGATCATCTTATAGCCATAGATAAAATCGAAGACTCATTGTCACAGGGTGACATATCTGTGTATTGTGGAGACTGGAACTTGCCAAATACACAATGGATTGATGATGAAGATGATGGACTTGGACTTATGCCAATGATTGGAGACTCAGGGTCTATTAAAGCCACTATTACCAGACGCGTAACAGACCACTTACTGAACCGTGGCTTATCTCAACTGTGCAATCTGAACAATAAATATGGAAACGTTCTTGATTTGATCTACACAAATATGCCAGAATTGACTTTATGTGAAAAAGCTGACATGTTAATCATCCCAGAAGATATAGCAGACGTTGCTCATGTACAAATTGCCCTAACCATCGAATGTGAACCAGTATTTTGTAGCACCGATGTTTCAACACCGTCAATCAAATGCTTTAAAAAAGCGAATTTTGAGTCAATGAATGAATTCTTCGAGTCGATTGACTTCAACTATTTACACAATATACACGATGTGAATGAAATGGTAGACAGCTTCTACAATCTGCTCTATGATGCCATTGATAAGTTTGTCCCGAATGCTTCGATTCGCTCTAACAATAAACCAATATGGTATGATAACAAACTGACAAACTTAGAAAATGTGATGAAACGCCAATATCGAAAACTGTCCAATAAAAGAAAATCAAATTGTGACGCGGACGATAGTGATTTCAAAAATGCACAAACTGAATTTAATGACTATCAAAAAATCAGATATCATCAATACATAAAAGACATCTCTGAGTCTTCGAAGAGAGATCCGAAGCGCTTCTGGAAATACATTAATGGCAAGAGAGCAATGAACTCAATTCCAAACAAATTATCGTATGAAGGAACAACTCTTACTGAGGATATTGACAAGGCGAGAATGTTTGCTAAATATTTTTCCTCGGTTTACATTAATCATGACAATGACTCTGACTTTGAGCATTTTATTCAACAAAGAAATGACAGGGGATTTTCTAAAGTCATATGTTCAGAGGGTTCCGTATTAAATGTTCTACAAACCATGGATCTGAACAAAGGAGCCAGTCCTGATGGAATCTCTCCACATATATTACGCAACTGTGCTGAAGTCTTAGCGGAACCACTGAAAATCATATTTCAAAAATCGATGGAAGCTGGGGTCTTCCCGGACCGCTGGAAAACTTCACTAGTTACACCGATTTACAAAGCTGGTAGTAAATCAGACGTGAACAACTATAGAGGTGTTTCGGTTATACCAACGCTGAGTAAAGTACACGAAAAAGTTGTCTACAATCAGCTTAAGATGGTGATTCATCCCTTACTCTCAAACAGTCAGCACGGCTTCATGTCTAATCGCAACATTGAAACGAATTTGATGTCATTCACAATTAAAGCGAACGAAACTTTTGAGCGCAAAGCACAATTGGACGTTTTTTACGCTGATATAAAAAAGGCCTTCGATACCGTTAACCAAGCACTCCTGCTCAGGAAACTTGCCCGTTTTCCATTGAGTAACCAGATTCTCACATGGATTGAATCTTACTTCACTGGCCGTAAGCAATTTGTACGTGTTCAGTCGGGAATATCAGAGGCGTTTGAAGTGCCATCGTCTGTTGGACAAGGAACGGTGTTTGGTTCACTGTTCTTTTTTGTGTTTTTTAACGACTCAGATTCAAGAGACGATCCAACGGTCTCATTCAACTTTGCGGATGATAAAAAGAAAGCTCACATTATAGTTAAACCGGATGACTCAATCGTATTGCAGAACAGCATTGATAAATTTTTAATCTGGTGCAGGAACAATGGTCTCGAGTTGAATATTTCTAAATGTTGTGTAATGACATTTTCACATCGACGAAATCCCATCATGAGTGATTATTTCATCAATGGACAGAAGATCAAGCGAGTTACCCAAATCCGTGATCTTGGAGTGTATATGGATCCTAAGCTTAGCTTTACGATTCATCATGAATTTGTCAAAAAAAATCAACTATAATGCTCCAACTTGTTAAAAGATTATGCAAAAACAAATTTGACTTGGGCAACGCTAAACTGCTTTATTTTGCCCTTGTTCGTTCTAATCTGGAGTTCGCATCTACAATCTGGTCTCCGAGAAATATAACACACACGAACTTCATAGAGAGTGTGCAGCGTCAGGCTGTAATCTATCTCCATGAAGATTACAAAACCAGAGCAGAAAACAATTATGTGCTTCCATCGTTTTTGATTAGGTGTGCGGAGTTGGAATTGGTGTCTCTACAAAGAAGAAGGATTAACATGGCAATCCTGTTTATTCACAAATTAATCACCGGGAGATATAGTTCCAGCTGCATACGGAGTCAAATGTCATTGAATACGGGCGTCAGAACCATTAGGAACCCAGAATTCATTCGCGTTCCATTTTGCAAAACGGAGTATGCAAGGAACTCGTCATTCATATGGGCATGTAGAGCGTTCAACTTTGCAGCACTTTTTATCGATCCAACAATTTCGACATGGGAATTTAAATCAAAGCTTGTGAGACTGCCTGACGATTGTTTTGAACGATTGAACATGCTGAGGTGAAAGATAAGGTGCTGATGAGGGGAATTTTTGTTTTTGGCGATTTCTTTTTATCAAGGAAAAATGAAATCACCAATCCAGGTTATAATTTTGTAATTTATTTATGATATAAAAAGCTTATGGAATACTCTGTTCACAGAAACTTGGGGTGAGACGAGAGATTGACGTGTGATGCCTCAGGGTGGCGGAGCGACACGAGAGTACTATGGAATCCAGCTGTGATAACAAGTGTATGGCCGGGAACCAACGCGAGTGCTGTGACGAAGTGACTGGAAACAAATTCCGTCAAATACCAAACGAACCAAAATAATATTTATAATTGATTAATAGTTTATATACTGTACATTTTGACTTGATTTTGAGACCGAAATTTAAATTTGATTCACAATTTTGTGTTTTTGACTTGTTTTTTTTTTAATTTGAAAAACTGAAAATTTTTTGCTAAACTTTGCGATTTACACATTTTTGTAAATATTTGGAATTTGGAATTATTATTTAGATTGAAATTGTGATAATATTTTGGAAATTGTATTGAATTTAGAAAATTGTATTTGAATGTCGGCTTGTTTTTGAGTAGACAATAAAAGCTATTATTAATGATTTATCTTTGCTTCGCGCACCAATTTCGTTTGTTGCTAACAATTCAGCTTGTTTACATTCTTTGTGATAAGACGTCGCAAAGTGATCAGCAACAGATTCGCTCGATAGTGCGTGCCAGATTCCAATGTAATAGCTGGTGGTTTGTTGTTTGCACACATGCGTCGAACAATAGCAGGAAATTTCACACAAACCTTGCAATTGATATTACGCTGAACACCACTTGTTTGTTGAACTTGAAATGATTTTATGCATGTGTCATATTCGCGTTCATATTCTTCGGTTTCGAGTTCAGGCAATTCAGACGAGTTTTGTGTTTTTTTATTATCAACACTCGGTGCGGGTTCGATTTCTGAATGTAAACATGCAAAGCAATTAAATCGATGATGAATCACTGTAAATAAACAACTTACGTTCGGCATTTGCGGCTTCTGTATCTGGCTTATCGCTGTGAGTTTCATGTGAAACGTTTTCTGCTGTTGAATAGCGATAATCGAAATTAAATTCACTACCGAAAAATCATCACAAAAGAACAAACTATACTTACGATTTCCTTCGTCTGTTTTTTCCTTTTGCACAAAAAATCTTTTTATACCTTTAATTTTGTCACTATTTTGCGACATTTCTTAAACTTAGTCTTAACAAGTACGAAACAATTATGAAATTCAAAAAAGCTACTGAAATAAATTGTCAAATGTTTGAGATTAACAATAACAAACTTGCGTCGAATAACACTTGTGTCGCGACTCAAAGCACCGTTAGTAATAATTACAGCATCGTGACAATACTTGCAGCTACTTGCTCAGTATTCAGTACCTCAATACATATGAAAATTATGCCAATAATTATTCGATCAAAATTTAGAGTTTTTGCTGTGTGAGACAATGCTCGATGCACAGTTTTCTATACATAAACATAATTCATGACAATACAAAAATACAATTACAGCAACGATTTTCGCTGATATGCAGCACTTCGTACTCAATACATTTATATTATTCATGTGAAAATCATACCTAATATCGATCAAAGGGAACTCACACATTTGATTTGCGCGCGACTTATTGTCTGTATTTGTTCAGTTTGGCAGTTCTGAAATGATGAGCTTGGAATGAAAATGAGACTTTCGTTGCTCAATACACAGATACGAAACAAAAATAAAGCAATCCATTAAAATGGAACATGGAAAAGAAATCCGTAAGAATGAAACATAGTATGTGCCGTTTTAAGTATTTCGCTTTGCGGTGTTCCGTTTTGATAGATTTTTTGTCTGCAGTGTCGTTATGAACGAGTCCTCTCGCATTGTTTCATATGAATGGATCTGTATCACATTGTTTCGTTACTCGAATATTTTTTTCGTGTGTTTCATTTCAATTGATTCCCGAGCTATTGATGACATCACTCGCATTTATCACATGATGCAAATTAAGTGATAAGGAAACCGAATTTCGATGTAGCGATAACACCAATGGATTGGGCAAAAAAAAATACTATATGAGAATCGAAAAAAAAAAATTTACTTTTTTTTCGATTTTTGCCTGTGTTGGACCGTCTACATGGGAAGTTTGTATGAAAACCTCGGAGCGCCGCTGCTATTGCGTTGGCTTCTATGGCCAAAAGTACACATGGAAATATCTCGAAAACGGCTGGCTAAATCGAAAAAATGGACCATGGTGTCACTCCCTAAAGGGAGTGTTAACACCCGGCTGGTTTGATAGCCAAGAATACAAAGCCGGTGGAATTTGGGCTGATCCATGGATTCTCAGGATTCGACCTGATTCTAGCACTTCCATTTCTTTCCGTCGTGGTGAAATTCCATACAAAACATAGGGAATATGACTTTACAGATGCACATAAAAAAGGAAGCACTGGAACCTGGTCAAATCCTGAGAATCCATGGATCAGCTGAAATTTCACCGGATTTGTATTCTAGGCCATCAAACCAGCCGGGTGTTTGCACTCCCTTTGGGAATGACATCACGGTCCATTTTGCCGATTTACCCAGCCGTTTTCGAGATATTTCCATGCGTAAATATTTAATAATATTATATTCAATTGCATTGGCCTATATGGAAGACAATCGAGCGCCGAAAACTTATGCTGTTTCGCTCACACTTATGTGCAATTTTTACTCGTATTACAAGCTGTTGTATTACGAACAACAGAGCCGCTCGCTTCGTTTCTGTTGAAAAACATTGAAAAACAGAAGCACACAAACACAAACACGAACAAGATTGAACATGTTTCGCTTTACAAGAGATTATGAATGAACGTAATGAAGAGTTAGTGCCTTACAATATTGAGTGTGCTATATTTGTATCAGGGATGGCATGTCAAAAACCTCGTTTCAAATTTGACATGTTTTTGACGTCAAAAACCTGATGTCAAATACCTAATTAAAACATGAGTATTTGACATGCATTGTCAAAAACTCCAAAGAGGGCTTTTCTGTACAATTTCACGAAGAAAAAAAAGAGGAAAATACAATAGTTTTGTGAAAAAAATAGGGAAAGTTCGAGTTTATTTTTGAATTGTGTTATTTTTACGTAAAAATGATCATTTTGTTTGGATAAAAAATCTTCGGTTTTATTCATCTTGATCACTCTCATCATCGGTTCCGAATTGCTCCCCTTCCATTTCAAAGTCCTCGTCGTCATCTTCGATAATTTCGTCAGTTGTGCGCAACGTGAAATAGGTGTTCACGAGTTTTTTGGATGTTTCGGTCGATAGTCGGTTTCTAATGTCATTGTGCACAAATGCCCAGTTGGAGAATAACCTTTCAAGCTGTGCAGTGGATGCGGGAATTTTCAAGTAATCCAGAGCGAATGTAGCCAACTTTCCATGACCCAATTGGTCGGCGAAGTGCCAGAACGCTTTTGGTGAAACGATTTTCTGCGGAACACCGCAAAGCGAAATACTTAAAACGGCACATGCTATGTTTCATTCTTACGGATTTCTTTTCCATGTTCCATTTTAATGGATTGCTTTATTTTTGTTTCGTATCTGTGTATTGAGCGACGAAAGTCTCATTTTCATTTCAACCGCATCAAATCTTGGC